ATAAATTACCAGGCCAGAATATAATTTACATTGCTGGAATTCTTACAATATGATGATCATTTTGAATATAAACATCATGGATTTTGCATTAGACATACAAATTTTAGATATAATGTAATAATTTGGTTTACACAAAGCAAATATTTTATCTTGTGTGCAAAATATATGAAGTTTACATTCAAAATATTCCCTGGCCTGCAAGGAATCCAGAAATGTCAATTATATTATCCTAACTGTAGTCTGAGGTATTATTTATTACTATACCTTAAAATCTAGTGTTTTCACCCAAACATTTCTCAGAGAGGGAGGAGCCAGCAAGCCTGGGAAGAGAGGTGGGGTGGGAGTTGAGTCCATTATTTGAATGGACATTAACCTGGCGACTGTATTTGTCTAAATATTAATTGTGTGTGCATACCATCATAAAATTAAGATTTTATTTTTACTACAACATAGGTATTGTGTCGGAAAAAGTGGAGTTTGGGGGTCGGTCCAGTCTCTATTGGAATTAGTCCCATATGTTCTCTTGTTCACTTTATGTGGTTTTCACTTTCCACGGTACCCCATGGATTCAATTGACAGCGTAAATCGGGGTACTACTGTGTATATATATACAGTGACCCCTCGGTTAACGAACTCAATCCGTTCCAGAAGGTCGTTCGTTAACCGAAAAGTTCGTTAACCGAAACCATTGTTTCAATGGGTTTTTGGGTAATTGGTTCCAGCTCACCGAAAATTTCCTAAATTCAACAAAAATGGTAGAAAAGTTCACTTACTTTGAGGTGTGTTTGTAGAAGGCTCCTGATGATGATGATGATGATGATGGGATTTAGAATGGGGGTGGAGGAGAAGGAAGAAGAGAAGGCATTGGGGTGGAAGAGAAGTCACCCCTTGGCGCCATTTCACCCATAAAATTTTAGCTCTCTTGGTGTAATTCAAGATTATTTTCTTTAAATCAACACTGCACTGCATTATATATTGTCAATATGTAAAATATATTTCAAAATGACCAATAATTTGCTTGGAAACACAGAAAAAAAGTGTTTAGTTGAAGAGAGTCTCAAGCAAGATGTTACCTCCAGTGAAAACAGAGAGAGACTAACGCCTGTTTGCTGTGTTAAGAGGCTGGATGCCGCGCATTAAACTAGTCACTTTACCTTCAATTATGTTCAATAATCGTTAAAATGACTAAAAAATTGAATATTAAACTTTTAAAATTATTGAATAGTATAAACTTCTTGATATTTACTAAAATAGTAAAGGAATAAGCCTAGAAGATTAATTAATGTATTGGACTAAAGCTGGTTGCCCGGTCAGCAAGAAAAACACTTGGTGGTTCGTAGAAATTCGACGAATTTTTTTCGTTAACCGAATTGAAGATCCTTATGGAAGGCAGTTCGTTAACGAAATTACGTTAACCGAGGGTTCGTTAAACGAGGGGTCACTGTATATATATAGTCATGCGCCGTTAACGTCCGTCTGTTCCTCCCCCAAAAAAAAAATAAAAAAAAAATAAATAAATAAACCCGTGACGCCTGCTGGACCACCACTCCACGAGCCCCTGACTAAGACGATGATCCTCCCCATACTGGTCAGATATTATGTGTTAAAGGAATATGCTTCCTTCCTTAGGTATATATATATATATATATATATATATATATATATATATATATATATATATATATATACAGTTGTGAACCCAGAGGGTCCCATTAAGTGAACAACAGAACATATGGGATTAATTCCAATAGAAACCGGCCCACGACCCCCCAAAGCTCCACTTTTGAAGGCACATACCTATGTTGTAGTAAAAATAACATCTTAATTTTATGATGGTACATGCACAATTAATATGAGAAATAGAAATACGGACACCCAAGTTAATGTCCATTCAAATAATGCATATATATATGCATATATATATATATATATATATATATATATATATATATATATATATATATATATATATATATATATATATATATATATATATATATATATATATATATATATATATATATATATATATATATATATATATATATATATATATATATATATATATATATATATATATATATATATATATATATATATATATATATATATTTGTTTGTACTTCAGACATCAATAAGCATGGGGCAACAGTCTTTGATTTTCAACGTTTGCTGGTGGTTCATCACATCAACTTATATCACCATGCCTCCCAAACGACCTGCTGCTCCCTCTGGATCTACACCTAAGAGGGCAAGACGAGTGCTGACGCTGAATGAGAAGAATGAAGTGCTGAAACAACTCGACAGCGGTATGAGCTACGCAGCTGTTGGCCGCCACTTTGGGCTCAACGAATCCAGTGTGCGTGGAATTAAACGACGTGCAAAGGATCTGAAGCACGCTTTAGCTTCAAGTGCACCAGTGACATCAAAAGTGACAAGCCATGTGCGTGATGATGCCCTCATTAAAATGGAAAAAGCACTGAACATTTGGATAGAGGACCTAAACCGCCGCCACATACCACTTGACTCGAAATTTATTAGGCAGAAAGCTAAGGAACTTTATGATAAGTTTTCTAAAGGTGATGATCATGGTGTTGGTGATGGTGATGGTGATGATCAGGGTGATGGTGATAATCAGGGTGATGGTGATAATCAGGGTGATGGTGACAATTTGAAAAAATTTGCAGCTAGCAAAGGATGGTTCGAGAAATTCAGACATCATTATGGGCTGCATAATATAAAAGTGACTGGCGAAGCAGCATCAGCAGACACTGTGGCAGGGGAAGCATACCCTGCAGAGTTTGCTAACCACATAGAACAAAAGGGTTATAGGCCGGAACAAGTTTTTAATGCTGATGAGTCAGGCCTATGGTGGAAGAAGATGCCACGCCGAACCTACATCTCTAAAGAGGAAAAAAGTGCCCCTGGATTTAAAGTTGCGAAGGACCGAGTGACAGTGATGCTATGTGGGAATGCGGCAGGGCATATGATTAAGCCCATGTTGTTATACACTGCCGCACGACCTCGGGCTCTCAAAAATAAAAACATGAACTTGCTACCAGTTTTCTACAGGAACAACAAGAAAGCGTGGATGACATCTGATTTGTGCGTGGATTGGCTGAAAAACTGCTTTGCTAGAGAGGTGAAAGATTATCTGGATGAACTTGGCATGGAGTTCAAAGTGGTATTATATCTAGATAATTGCCCTGGCCACTCTGAAGAACTCAAGACTGCCCACCCCAACATTGAGGTGGTTTTCCTGCCAAAAAACACCACCTCCATCATCCAGCCAATGGACCAGGGAGTCATTGTCGTGTTTAAGGCTAAATATGCAGAGAAGACTTTCAGCATGATTCGTGAGTGCCTTGATAAGGATGCTGATGTGACACCCAGAGAAATGTGGAAGAAATTTGATATTGCACAGTGCATAAACTTCATCGCTGAAAGCCACAATGAACTGTCGCAGAACTGTGTCCGATCATGTTGGAAAAAATTGTGGCCTGAAATTGTCCCAACATTCACAGGGTTCCCAACAGCCGAGCCTCAGTTACGCAACATAATAACTATGGCAAATGAAGTTGGAGGTGAAGGGTTCTCTGACTTAACAGCGGCAGAGGTGCAAGAAGAGTTATTGGGAAATGTTGGGGATCCATTTACAAGTGATGAACTAGAACAATTAGTGGAGCTGCAGGATGAAACAGAAGATGAAGTGAGTGATGATGAAAATAAGAACTTAACTTTAGATAATCTTGGTGAAGTAATAAGAATGAGTAAGGCCCTCTCTGCTCGTCTCTATGACATTGATCCCTCCCTTGATGGGTCCCTTAAAGCAAAGAGAGCTATTGAAAATGTTATGTTGCCATATATAGAACTGCAGAGGGAAATGAGAAGCAAGAAAGCACAGACCACCATCACCAACTTCTTCAGTCGCCGAGTGCCTGCCATCGCCGAACCTGCCGGCATCCTGCAACAGGAGGCAGAAGCTGCCGACACCTCACAACAACAAGACGTAGAAGCTGCCGGCACCTCACAACAACAAGACGCAGTACCTGCCCACACCCCTCAAGAAGATGCAGACCTTGACTCATCATACTCATCTGACTGGTCAGGCTTTTAATAAGCCTCAATCATCACACTTGTATATACTGTATTGTTTACTGTAAGGACCGATGTTCACTTCAATAAATGAAATCGTAAGTTTGCTAGTATTTTTGTCCACTTATTATATTATTATTTATACACTATTATTTAAGGTTATGGTACAAAACTTCCAGTGCCCAAAGAAACAGGACTTTTCAAGGCGTATTGTCCTATCTGATGAAACTCCTATCAGTAATGTGGCCTCATTTGTTACTGAGCGTACATTAGATATTTTTGATGTTCTTACACTAGATGGCAAAGAAAGAGCACAACTGTTCTTGAGTAAGGATCCCAAAACATGGAAAGACGATGAAGTGTTTATCACAATGAGAGATCGTGCGATAAATATGAAGGTGGTGAATGACAGCGCAGAGAGGGCAATTGCTCTCATAGAGCGTTATAATGAGTCTATAACGCAAAATGAGGACCAAAAGCAGTACCTTTTACAGGTTGTTGCAGCTCATCGCAAGAAGTTACCAACGGCAAGCAAAGCTGCTATGATGAAGGGATACAAATAAAGAATGTGTATTGGTGTTCTAGAGTTATTTAGTTTGTAATTTGTAAAACTTATAATTGTATTTTGCTGAATAAAGACAATGTGTTTAAAATGTGTTTATCTAGCCCCGAAAAATCCTTATTACGTACTAAATGGAAAAAAAGAGGACATTGGATTGACCTCTAAATATGCTTTAAATGATCCAATTTTTTTCTGGGATGCATTTTGTACCTAATGGACAAAAATAAACCTTGTGGAGAAAACGTATACAAATATGTGATATTTTGGACCACCCTAATATACAGGGCCGGTTTTAAGCCTATTTGACCAATTTAATCAAATTGGGCCCCGCGCCACAAGGGGGCCCCGCACACACGTGTGTTAGTTTTAAACTGTATACGATATTGGTAAAAAAGCTAACGTTAGACACAAAATCATTGTTATTGTCATCAAAATAATAGATCCCAGTCACGTGCGAGAATTTTCTGTTTTGTCAAAAGTCCAAGTCTGGTGTTGGTCCACACGCCCTGACTTTCATAATAATTTACAGGAGCGGGAAGGGTGCGAGCCAATCAGAACACAGTTTTCACTCTCTCCCAACGCTTGGACGGTGTAAGTGTGTCGGGTCTGTATTTTTGGCTGTTTTCAGGGGGAAATACGAGTGATAACGTTGTGCTGTGTATATCAGCATGTCCTGTAATAACCAGTGAATCAGTGATCATCGTCAGACAGTGACAAAACTCCGGTCGTTGCCATAGACATGATTTGAGATGAGTTTTGCAGTGTTGACCTTGAAAATGAGAAGCATGGCCACTGGGTGGCGACCGAGGCGTGGTTTGTTTATAATTTTTGTGCTGGACAGTGATGATAATTGTTGATCCTGAGTACATGATTGATAGCGACAATAGCGATGATGAATCAGAAAATGACTTGTGATTCTGAGCACATGCAAGCACATACTATAGCTCTATGTAGGTAACCGAATCTTTGCGTACGTAGCGGTGTGCTATCCATGCCAAAGTGTTATATGTCCGGTTAAAGCTTTTTTTGTCCGGTGAAGTGGTGATAAACATTGTGTGGTTTTTATTTTATAGGATCAGTGTTTCGATTTTTTGTTTTAATTATAGCATTCATATATGCACATACTTATTTTTTAAGTGCCAGGGACTTCTCATTGTGAATAATTTTGTTCGTTTTTTCATTTCAGTTTATTATATGTCATTTCTGAAAAGATAATATAAAAAGCCCTTTCATCATGGCAAGCACAAGCAGAGATAGAGGCAGAGGGCGTAAGTATTTAAATGGCAACCAGAAGCGAGCACTGGCAAAGGCAAAGGTGCTTGAAAATGAAAAACATCGAGGTGCTATCAAAAAATTTCTTGTCACTCCACCTTTGAAACGCCCATGTATTGAAGATGAAGAAGACAAAAACGATTCAGAAAATGACAATACAGCCATTAGTCCAATTACAGTTGATGAATACAATGAAGAAATTGATATTCAGTTTGAAAAAGTTCAAGTTGACACACAGACACAGTTGAATCAAACTGAAGACGATCTTAATACAACAGAAGACAGTGCCAAAGTGAGAAGTCCACTTATAGCTAAAGAAGAGTCAGAAGGCCAAGCCCAAACATCAAACAGTGATGGATCATCCACAAGTACAGTTGTAATTAACATTAATGATGACCCGGCAAGTTGGCCATCGAATATAAATAGAAATATGAGAGATTATTTAACAATGAAAGGGCCTCCTGATATTCCAGTGAACAAGTTTCCACGAAATGAAAAGGGATTGTGTTTTTCTAAGTTTCACTGTAAGAGAAAACTTCCAAATGGGGAGTATGTTGATAGACCTTGGATTATTTATTCTCAGTCTGCTGATAGAATTTATTGCTTTTATTGTAAGCTTTTTAGTATGAACAAAACCAGTGCATAATCAGCAAGTGGATTCAACAACTGGTCTAATCTTCATACAAGGTTGTATGAGCATGAAAATTCTAAAAACCATTTGGAAGCCACATGGCAATTCTGGGAGTTATACCAAAGACATTATAGTGGACAGACTATTGACAAAGAACGTGAACTAACTATTAATAAACATGCAAAGTACTGGCAGCAAGTATTCAAAAGGCTAGTGGCAATAGTGCAGTTTCTTGCTGAGAGAAATCTAGCGTTAAGAGGGACAGAAGAAAAAGTTGGTAATGAGAGTGTACACAATGGAAACTTTTTAGGTTTAGTGGAGCTGTTTGCAAAGTTTGACTCTGTTCTTGAAGAACATTTACGTAAAGTCAAGGCCAACGAAATTCATAATCACTATTTAGGAAAAGATACTCAGAATGAACTACTAGACATTATGGCTACAGCTGTTTTGAATGAGATACTGAATCGCGTAAAAGCAGCTAAGTACTATGCCATAATTTTAGACTGCACACCTGACTTGAGCCACCAGGAGCAAATGTCTCTAACGATCAGGTATGTTTCTGATGGCAACTTGGCTCCTTCAGGTGTTTATGAACATTTCATACAGTTTATGCAGGTTGAAAGTAGCACAGGAGAAAATTTATATAAAACATTATTAAACACACTAGAGGAATTAAAATTGGATGTGAAAGACATTCGAGGCCAAGGTTATGACAACGGTAGCAATATGAAAGGTCACACATCGGGAGTACAAGCACGGCTGTTGCAGGATAATCCAAGAGCCTTCTTGGCCTCATGTCAAAACCGCAATTCTAACACCCGACCCATAGCTGTAATATATATATATATATATATATATATATATATATATATATATATATATATATATATATATATATATATATATATATATATATATATATATATATATATATATATATATATATATATATATATATATATATATATATATATATATATATATATATATATATATATATATATATATATATACAGTTAACCCTCACTTCGCGGTCCGCATTCGCGTTTCCACGTTTCTGTGTTGCCTTGCCAGAGAACCTCATGTGCTCACATTACGCGATGCGTGAACCCCATGCACTGGTATGTGTCCGGCGACGTATTTTAGATTCGCCCACCGGCCGCCTGTGCTCCTCTCGCCTCTCCCTCCTCCTCCTGCTTGGGCAAGCGGTGCGGTAAGGTTTGCGCAGTAGGGGTGACAGTTTTGCAAAGTTTTCAAAATCAAGTGGCTTGGGTTGGATTATTTGTCTATCGGCCACGCTGGTTCCGAATATGTTTGAGTTTTACATCATTGCATTAGAAGGTTTGTGGATACTTTTGTGTTTGGCATGAAAGCGAAAAAACTGTAAATAATAAAGGGACTGGCAATGTGGCACAACCTGTTAAAATCAAGTTATTGAATTGGATTATTCGACTACTGTGTACACTGGTTCATAATATGCTATTGTTTTACAACTCAATGCTTTAGTATACCCGATATTTTTGCTGCAAGTCACCCCGTATATTTGAAAACCAGGGCCCAATACACCTAAACCCCGACTTACGACGGGGTTAGGGATAAATCCAGGTCGTAAGTCCGATATGGTCGTAAGTCCGATGGCTTTTAAGTCCGATATAGATAAAAAAATAAATAAAAATAAAAAAATTTTAAAAAAAAAAAATTCAAAATTTTTTTTTTTTCAAATTTTTTTTTTTTTAAAAATTCATAAATGAAATACAGTACACTGTGTAAAAATAATGAGGAATGGATAGACAGTACAGTAAAAGTAATAAATAATGAGGAATGGATACAGTGTGACTGAGCACCTCACTCCAAATGTAGTCAGCTGAATGCACACGGGCCCCATAATTTTCTATTTACAGGATACATGAGACTATACTTAATTGAAGAAGCAGAAGAGGAAGACAGGGTTGTGGGCCATCAATGTCAAGCCTTCAGACAGTAGGTTTGAGGTACTGTGGTAACTTGCTGGTTGAAGGTATTGATCATCTTGAGGGGGAGTAAGAGGCAGCACTGTGGGGCGTGAGGAGCCAGTACTGGGGACTTCTTGGAAATAGGGTGTCCAATTTAGAATTTCCACAGTTTTTTTTTTCATTATAAATTTCTGTAGCAAGCAAGTGAATCTTGGATCATTCTGTCAACTTGGCAGCATAACGCTCATAATTTTTGACCATATGTCATCAAACATTTGCATTGCTTTATTAACTGTAGCAAATGCTCTGCCATATGTTTCACTGAAAAACTTTTGGGGGTGCAGGCTCTTTCTACATTTTGTGTCTTCTTTCACTCTGCAACTTTCTTGTGCATCTAGTTCATTAAGATCTCGTTACTGAGCTCTTCTTCTCTTATTACACTCCTTTCAACCAACTGTCTCCAACATCTTCAGTATCACTTAACTCCAGCTGTTTACCTAAGTCCACTATCTTGTTACTAATATCCAAAATAACTTCACTTTCATTAAAATCCTTTGAAACTGTTCGCTATCTTTTTTGTGATTTTCTTCCAGGCTTCCATTCATGCAATGTTTTGTAACCTGATCCCATGCTGCACTAATGTTCTTTTTATATACATAAAATTACCTCTTCCAAACTGTCTTGGAGTTGCTTCTTTTTCAATTTTCAGTAGCAGCAACAGCCTGAGCGAAGGTCGTATGCGTGAATAATATGCTTTTAGTAAGCAGAAATAGCACCTTGATCCATGGGTTGATGATAGAGGTAGTGTTAGGTGGCATGTAATAATCACCCAACATCAGGTGCATGCCGTCCAGGTGTGGTGGGGTGTCCCGGAGCATTATCCAAAAATCAGCAAAATCTTGAATGGGAATCCTTTGTTGCAGACAATACTCCTTGGCTCGTGGAATGAAACAAGACATGAACCAATCCTCAAATAGTACTAGGGTCATCCAGGGCTTTCTTGTTACTGCGATAAAACACCGGTGTGTGTTGCTGCTTAAAATGTGTTCTCTTGAATGATAGATCAAGAAGGGCTTTAGCTTGAACCAGCAACATTCCCCAACAGAAGTGTAATTCTGTCTTTGAATGCCTTGAATCCGGGCATTTTTTTGCCCTCTTTGTGGATGTGTGGCGGTCTTGGTCAGGTGCTGTGCTCTCATTAATCCAGTCTCATCCACATTGAATATTTGTCGGCAAATAATTTCTTCCACAATCATACTCATCTAACTCCTCCCAAAGCTTGGCAGTACCAACATCGGCAATTAGCTGCCTCTCTCCACTCACCTTAACACTGTGTGTAGACTGTAAGCAGCTTAAATCTATCAAACCACCCTTGACTTCCCAAAGGTTTGATCACATTCATCTCCTGCTCCTTCAGGCTTTGGAACAGGCTTTGCTTTTAGCCTGTATGGTTAGAACACTTAAGGGTACATTGGCTTGTATCTGGTCTTCTATCCATATCACCAATAATTTTTTTCCATATCGTATAGAATCTTGCCTTTTTTTGTTATTATAGTTCCTTTATAGGTGTTGTTCTTTCACTACTTCACGAATACGCCCCTTGTCCTTCAGAATAGTGGATATAGTCATGTGAGAAACCCAGTCGCGGAGATTGTTGCTACTGTTTTTCCATTCTCATACTGTGTTATTTTCTTCAGTTTCATCTCAAAAAGCAATTGCCTGTCTCCTTTTCCTTGAGTACCAATTACACTCTCACTTTTACGCCTTCAGTCATTATAAAAGCCACTAAATACAATAATAACGAAAGTTCACAGCGCGATCAGTATAGGATACGAGTAGCCAAACATAAAACAAAGCGCCCACTGAGTGAGTGCAGCCACGAGGCGACTTAAGACACCTCCCTCTCGCCTCGACGGAAACGCTTTCGGTATAGAAAATGCGCGCTATCATTTGAAAAATTTTTTGGTCAATGGAGGTCGCAGTCGTATGTCCCGTATGGTCACGGTCAAAGCAGGTCGTAAGTACCATTGGACGTAAGTCCGTATAGTCGTAAGTCGGGGTTTAGGTGTATTACCAACGGCGTGGATAGATTCCGTGGAATGAATTCAGGACATTCCCGCTCATGGAACATTACCAAACTCCGTATATGTGCCAATGGCAGGCCAATGGCAATATTTACAGAGTTTGTTGAGGCTCCCTGGACGGGAATGCCCTGAATTTATTCCACGGAATCTATTCACGCCGTTGGTAATATTCGTCCCAGGACTGATCAACGAATTCAGCCCAAGTAGCTTGACTTGGACAGTTAAGGACAAAATCTCAGTCCATACTTTTGAATAAAATATTGTTCAATAGGTGGTGATATTGAAGTGCTGAAAGTTGTTTTCTGTGTTGTTTGCAGTTAGTTCAAAGGGCGCCACCAAGATGGGTCGTCCTAAGATTAGCAACCTCAGCTGCGCCAGGGTAACGATAAGGTGTTCGGGGTTCGGATGCCTCTGCCATCTAACAAGTTGCCTCTGAACAAGGAAGTTGGAAGTGCCCTGGCTTATGAAGCAGAAAACAGAGGTTAAGGAGAAGAACAAATGCTTTTGATTATATGGATGCCACCAACAAGGTGACTGAGAAGGTACTGGATGTGTATAGGAAGGCCACTGTCCCTATCTCTGAAATCAGGGTGAAAATGAGAGTCGACCTGTGGAGGATGCGGAGGAGACGATGATGAAGGAAATGGACAGAAACAGAAAAGGTTTAAGATCGGAACAAAATCACCAATATAAACATTGGTGGTGAAGAAGCGAAGTGCTGACCGTGCTGGCAGGGAATTTCCTCCGTTTTTTACGTGAGATTATGGAGGAAGGACAGTACAGTGACGACCAGGTGTTTTAACATGGACGACTCTGGTCTTTTCTGGAAAAAGCTACCTTCCAAGTCCTTCGTTGTAAAGAATGCCAGCAGGATTCGGGGCCGGAAGATGCAGAAGGAACGCATCACCGTCCTGTTTACCAATGCCTCCGGTACCTGTAGCTCAAGTTATCGGTGATCCACACAGCCGCATAGCCGCACCCCTAA